TTTAAAGCAGATTTTACTGAGTTAATTTTAACGTAACGTTTTCTGTGAAGCAAAACATACCCTGTACTCGTAAGCCTATATAGCACATGGTTCGCTGCTCACCTGTCATGGCTTCTAGGGACAAGACGCTAAACAAACGGAAAGGACAACCGCCTGAACTTCCTTCCTCCTTGTAACCGAAAGGGTTGCAGTTTCAATACAGTTCTTTGATGGACTCAAAGATATCCTGCAAGTTACTATTTTCTTATAGTCTACTGTGTATAGGAAAATACAGTCTCCTTGTATTTTCCTATTGAAAAGAATCCAACACATAACCCTTAGACAGCAAACGTCACTGGGAGTGTCTGAGTGAGAGGAGATATTCAGAAACCCCTTCCAAATGCACTAAAATACGTCACCTTCAAGGAAAGGTTCAAAATCGGGGCAGGGAAGTGTTAATCTCGGCGTCTAATGACTGTGAACTTCTCTCCTCGATACGACCACTCTAAGTTTTGAAGGTAGAGATAATGTTATTAAAACAAACACAAAAACTCAGACTGTGCTTTCGGCGCCCACCTGGCAGCCTCTGGACTGGGGAATCTGCTTTCTCAGTTTTTGCCTCATATGAGACAGAGGAGCTGAATTCCTCAAGCCTCTTTGGTCTGAAGCCTGAAACCACCATCCTTCCACACACATGCCTGATCACCGTTGTCATATAGCTGGACTACAGAAGAGGCAGCTGGAGTTGAAATGGAAGGGGATAGGTAGCTGGTGGCCAATGTAGATGACCAGATCCCCCCCAGACTCTGTACTACAGCAGCCAAGGAGAATGGAAACAGAAACTGGGTCCCGGAGTGGTTTGCAGAAACAGAACTCAGCAGCCAGCTTCACTTACTTTGTGACACCGACACAGCCATTTCCCTTGTTGTCCATGTCAACAGAGAACATGGGGCAGCTTGCAGAGTTTCTTTACTTCCCCAACTAAACAATAAGGGAGACAAGCTTGGGTTTAATTCTTTGAAAGCGAGAGGATACATATCCCCAACTGGAAACATAATGGTCCTTTACAGCTTCCCACAGTTCACTCGTGGTTGTTTATGTCGCTATTTCCCTCCTGCTGGAGAGACAGGATCACAGCTCAGAGACTGGAGGAACAGCTTGGGGGGCTTTCTCTTGCATTGCCTTGACAGTAAGACTGTGCAAATACATAACTGAAGCCTCCTTCCAAATGAGGGACTGTGACCTGGCAGGGCTTCCTCTGGATGCCTAGCTCCCTGAAGACACTGCAACCCATGCTCAGAAGTAGAGAAAAGCAAGCCTCCATTCCTAGCCCCCTCCCAGTACAGGCTGTGATTGGTTTTTCATTTTTCTTTTTGCCCCCTCCCCCTGCTTCTATCTTTCAGTGAAACGCAGAATGGACTTAATTAAAGTTTTCAGAAGGTATCCCCCTACCTCATATATTTTCAGCAAAACTCAGTCTGGGAGATAGCCATGCCAAAGTAAGCAGAAAGCTAAACAAACAAACAAACAAACCAAACAAAATAACAACAACAAAAACCCCAGATACCATATCACAGAAGGAGTGGTGGTGGTGATGATGATGGGTTGTTGGGATATGTGTGTGTGGGGGGGGTGGTAGGCAGCTCATCAGATTTATGTAAAACCATAAAAACATTTGAGATACGGTAACATCACTGTCTTCTTATACATCAGATGAGGAATGTATATATATATATTTTTTAAAAAAGCCCTCCGCAACTCATACGCAATTAGCAAAACTGGGGAAGGGGAACCTGCTTAAAATACAAGAAAGTCAAAACAAAACGAATGATCTGGAAATCTGTTTCCTTGAATTCAGTCGAAGCCATAATTTAAATCCATTTCCTCTCAGATCACTTTAGACTCTGACATTCCTTCTCTAGGGGTTACTGTGACAGGGCAAGTGCATCGTTCAGGAAATTCAGGAAGATGCTCTTACTCTGCCAGAAGTGGATGACGAGCAAACAACACTGTAAGTGTGAGGTCAGAGCGCTCATGGACAGCCATGTGCAGTCCGCACGCACGCACGCACGCACGCGCACACACATACATAAACTTCCAGTTGCTAAGTCTCTAAGATCACTGCTAAAGAAAGCCGATATTTAATATAATATAGACATTAGTTATTTAATATAATATAGACATTAGCACCCACCCACACAGTCACAGAGCAGATAGGGAGAGAGCGCTGCTGCTCCAGCCACAAGAAGAGACGCATTTTAGTTGGAAACTAGTGCACATTCACCGTCTTCTATGCATCTCAGAAACAAAACTCAGAGCAGCGCTCTGCAGCAGCGCCCTGCCACACTCTCATCATCACTACTACTATTTCCCTTTTCTTTCGTGAGAGAGTAAAAAGCAAACCTACCTAGAAGCAACTAAAACATCTCACTTTTATAGGCTTATCAAGAACAGCCAAAGAAACCCCAATGCTTTCTTTCACAAAGTAGCTGGGCAAGGGAATTCAACAAGGAGGTGCAATCTGACACACTGAAATAAAACCAGGCTGGATCGCAGCCAACATGACGTTAGGAATCACACACAAGCCGCAACTGCCTTCTGGTTGGTTCATGGCTGACTTTTTAAAGCTACAGCGTAGCCGGGTGTTGGTGGCGCACGCCTTTAATCTCAGCACTTGGGAGGCAGAGGCAGGTGGATTTCTGAGTTCGAGGCCAGCCTGGTCTACAGAGTGAGTTCCAGGACAGCCAAGGCAACACAGAGAAACCCTGTCTCGAAAAAAAAAAAAAAAAAACCTACAGCGTGCCCGCTCATTTTGGCTAACTACCTTCAGCACAGTTAGTGGGAGGGGATGATCCCTACTTCCAAAGAGGCAGAATTCTTGCATGTGTCTTGTACGAAGAAGAAGCTGTTTCTGGAGCTGCTTACTTCCCTACCCTTCCCTGTTGCCACCTAGGTCTTTACTGTTCTTCTGCACAGTCATACATGCCATGTTTCAAACTATTTCATTTTCTCCTCATGGGGAAATAAGAGAAAACCCAGGGATTACGGTCTCTACACAGTGAACACAGTGAATCCTGCATTAGTCTTTTTTTCCCTAACAGAGGCAGAGACAAAGATCCCAGAGCTGACTTTTAAGTAATCTCTTTGTGAGAGAGAATAAGGAAGGCTCTGGTCAGCTAGCAAATCCCTCACTCCTCATAGGAAGCAGCATCTCTCAGAGAGAATGTGAAATAGAAGACCCGAGCTCCTGCAAACATTCACATTCCACCCCAGGAAGCCAACCAAAACCAAACAGAAACAAGCAAATCCTTTTTCTACAAAAGAAAACCCCTTCAAATATAACAGTTGTCTCAGTTGCATAAAAAGCGTAACCTTGTTTTCCCCACCCCTACCCCCCAAGAAAGATTCAGCTAACACTTGTAACCCTGAGCACTTGGTCCTGCTGAGGTGACACACAATCAAGGCATGCCAGCCTACGGACATCTTAAGTTCCAATTCAGAAAACTGAGAGTAGAGCAAAGAGACTGGGAGAGTATTCCTGTGGGAGGGCGGGGTATTCCTGCTCCATAATCCTTAACATTTTGTATGTGAGTGGGAAACAAATATTAACATTTCAATGCTTTTAATTCAAGATATCCACTGACACACACACACACACACACACACACACACACACACACCCTGGCTTGGTGCCAACAAAAACCCAAGCCCAAAAACAGTGACAAAACTAATAAAATCCACTCAAAACAATGGCACATTCAAGATCCGTACAAGGACCCTGAGGATCCTCGGTTCTTAGGCATTTTAGGCAGAACCTAGGATAAACTGGCTTCCCTTTTCTCTACTAACCTTTAAGGGCATTCAGAGATCAAAGGTCAACAAGTATAGTCTAAATCTGGATCCTGAATTCCTAAATCACCCACACACATGATTTTAGGAATGGCATTTGAAATTTTCAGCTTCCCGAAAGATCACAGCTGAGAAATATTTATTAAAAGGCTCTGTTTTCTGGGCTTTGCTACTGACTCATTACAAAAGCAGCTATAGTTTTTTTTTTTTCGGGGTGAATGGTAAGTGCTCAGAATTTCTGGGTACTGTTTTGAGCAGGGGTCAGCATGTGGGTGCATTATCATGAATGACTGAAAAAGGGTCATGGTTCACGTCAGCAGATCCATACTCTGGGACTTCGTGAGAATCCTGACTCATTTCCCAACGACAGCTAAAAGGAATGGCTTAGCATTGTAAGTCTGATGGGTAAGGGGGAGGGACAGTATAGCTCAGAATGGTTCTAAAGGAGCCCTGATCACATCCTCCAAGGGAAACGCTCAGAGATGAAGGCATGCCTGAGTGCACTCACAGGAGGGAGGACTCCAAGTTTCTCAAAGCACCTTCCCCTTCACACAGAACAGGCCACCCTCTCCCCTCCTGCCTGCTGTGTTCAAAAGTTTGCCTGTTACATAAATATGTTTCTGGAAGTGTTGCAGGAAATTGGTCCCGTTTCATCAAGAATGAACCACAAAGGTGCCCTATATGATGGCAACAGGTTTCACTTTGTAGCTAGTTTCTAACTTTGGAAATAAAAGGACATTTGTGAAAGTCTGTGTGGATTCAGTCACTCATCTTTGTACACTCCACAAGCACAGTAGCCTTATATGAGGGACGTGTATATGAACTATGTTTACATTGTGTTTGTGTTTCGTGGAGCACGTGAGTGTTGTGTGCTGTATGCAGGAGGTGCACTTTCTGATTATAGAACGTGTGTGTGTGTGTGTGTGTGTGTGCCCTGCGTGCTGTATGTAGTGTAGTGTACTGTGCTGTATAGAGAGGGGCACCCAAACAAGACTTTCTAAGACAGTACATCTGTACTGAGGTAGGTAACTGTGGATACCATGGCCTCTGGATTCTGGAACAGAGAACCTTTGGGACCACTTGAAAGTGCCCTCGGATGGGGGAGGGGAGGCCAATGAGGAAGAACAGGAGCCTGGGCACTTTGAGTGGCTCCTATGTTGACCCGCACCCACCTCCAAGAATCACCGATGGCCCAGGAAAGCCAGGCTGTTCTGTAGGAACCTTCCACTGGTCCCGTGCTGGACCGAAGTCCCGAGGGCAGGGCTGCACGCGTCCCGAAGGGCGTCTCCTGGGCACAGGACGGGCGTCCTCACTGCCAGAGGTCGGCTAAGCAACTCGCGGTGGCGCCGGGGACAGAGGGGAAAGTTTCTGCTGAGATTCTGAGGGAGAACAGGGCGGTCAGCCTTGGGTGGGAGCTGCTAGGTGTGTGGCGCAGACCCTAGCACCTACGACCTGTCCCGTCCCGCCAGCTCTGTCCCGCTCCACTCCAGGTGACAAAGTGCACGCCCGCGGGGCACCGAACTCACGGGGACCGCGGGGCGGGCTTTGGAGTAATTTGGTTTTTTTTTTTTTTTTTTTTTTGTCGTTGTTGTTGTTTTGCTTTTGTTTTTGTTCTTATCTTGGTGTTCCCTGGTTCCTTTCATCCTGGAGAGGAGGGAGGGCGGGCGTGTTCCCAGGACAGCCTGCGAGCCCATCACTTACCTCCCGCCCAGCCGCCCGGTGGCCGCCACGCGCGGAGCCCAGACAGCGCGGGGCGCGGGGCACGTCGGGAGTTGTAGTCCACCGTGGGGCCGGAGGTCTCGGAAACAGGGGCGGAGAGAGCGTGGAGAGACAGAGGCTCTAAGAAGGAAAGGACCGAGTTCGCTGAGATTCGGAAGAGGACTTTTGCCAATGCCTCAAAACTTCCCGGGAGCAGAAGGGAGGGCCTCCTCCCGGGAAAATTAGCACAGCGGAGGTTTTCGAGTCACCAACATTTTCTGTGGATAACCCCGCTGAAGTTACACATCGAACTTTAGCAATAATGATTACAAGACATTTCCCAGGCCAAGTTCCTATTTTGTAGGGCTCTGCTTCCTCTTCACTGGGATCACGTGTGTGTGTGTGTGTGTGTGTGTGTGTGTGTGTGTGTGTGGCATACTTTGCTTAGATGCTCCTGTTTTCTTGTTGGAGAAACTGCATCACTCCATCAAAGGGTGATTGGACTCTCCATTTACAGACCACTCTGTAGCCCTCTTTACAGAGCGCTGTTTATTTATCTGCTCCATTCTCTTACATCCGTGAAGCAACACTGAGATTTAAGCAAAGTAAAGCTAGAGAAGCGGTTTTGTGTGTCTGCACCTGAGGAGCTTGGAGTTACCTGTACTTAGCCACTTCCTCCTCCCACCCTTCTCTTAGTTGTTAGGAGGAGAGAGGGAGGGAGGCCTGGAAACAGCTGTAGCACACAGATCTAAAAATGCGGAACTTTTGTGGAGCATTTTCTTGAAATAGCTGGTGAGGTCTGAGGAGCTAGCTCGGCTAGTAACATGCTTGCTTGTTAAATGTAAAAATCTCAGAACGTGTTCTAGAAATTAGGCCTATTTTATGAAAAATGAGCCATAAAGTTGGCCGCAGATTTCACTTACCAGCAAGGGCAGAAAAAGCCAGGTATAGTGACTTCAACTCTGGGAAGGAAGGGGATCCCGAAGACTTGCTAGCCAGCTAGCCTGGGATCCTGGGCTAGTTCTAGACCAAAGAGAGACTGAGTAACAAACCACTGGAGACTGTACCTTTAGACCAGCATTTGAGTTTGCCTCCGGCCTCTATACTCACACACACAGACATGCAAAGAAACTTGCACAAAGGAACACACACCACACACTGCTTCCCCGTCTGCAATCGTTGGTAAATAGGTTAGCAAATGGCTGCCCTGGATCTAAGCCAGATGGGGTGCTAGTGGACACAAGTCCCCATCCCCAACTCAGAAGCTATTAAGAATTGCTAGCCACTTGCAAAGGATTATAAACCACACTTAGGGACAGATCCAAGTTTAGCAGTAGCTTGTCAGTGCTGATACATTGTGGCTTCCAGTCTTGTGTCCTTGTGGGACTTCTGCCTGTGAGTGTGTGTGTGTGTGTGTGTGTGTGTGTCTGCATCTATACATTTCTTTGGCTCTTTTGTTGTTGTTGGCTTGTGTGCTTGTTTCGTCTTATTCTTTGATTTTACTTCATCATATTTTATTTTATTTTATTTTATTTTATTATTACTTTTTAAAATGCCTGTTTGTTTTCTAATGAGAGAGAAAAAGAAAGGGCATGGATTTGGGTGTGTGGGGAGGTGGGGAGAATCTGGAAGGAGTTAGGGGAGGGGAACCAAATATATTTGAAAAAAATCTTTTTTATAATAAATATATATATTTATTTTATATTAATAAAATAAATGATTCGTAAGTGATAGATACATAGGTAGCCACCTGATGTATTAGGAGAGCAAAGTGGGAAAGAAATTCAACACAAGATTGTAAGATGATATGATACTGTAAGGGTCACAGGAGGCCAGTGGCAGCCAGGAGATTGGAGGCCACTGAGACCTAGAATCCCAGTGTTGTCACTCCTGAGTTAAGTCTAGGAACGAAAAGTTATTTAACCTCTCCAAACCTCTTTGACCTCAGCATTAAAATGTAAGAAATACCAGTTGTGTAACAATAGCTCTGAGCGGCAGTTCAGATTAAAATAGGCAGGAGACACTTAGAATAGTAAGCACGGATCTAATGTTACCTACTATAATTATCTACAGAAATTCCTTTTGTGGAAGTATCAAGAAATGAATTGGCGTGGAAGCCGTGTTGGGAAGCTGTGACTATGTTCTAAGCTACAGCAGCGTCTTAAACTCCAGTGACAGACAGGAAGTAGCTAGGAGAGTCTTCAGAGACAATAGGCAGGGCAGGGCAAGCATTTGCTTGTGGGGGAAAATGAAGAGGGAATCCCAGGCAGTTATCATTTTCTGGATCGAGAATATTCTTGGAGTTGCCATTTCAGACACGGACATAGCCATTGGAATACAGAGTTTTGCAGGAAAATAGCCAGTTTGGCTTGGAACCAAACAGGAGTCTATCTGGGTGTGGATGACCTCGTGACAGTTGGGAAGGCTAGTTTGAATATTATACGGCGATACAGAGCTTTAAGAGCCAGTCACGGAGGAGAGGAAGTTAGAAAGCCTGTGCAGAGACAAAGGGAAGAAGAGCAGGAGTGGGCAGGAGGAGCTGAGGTGGGGTAGGCAAGGATTGGTCAAGTGGCAGCTGAGGGCTGCAGGGATGAAGTCCAGCAGAGCCAGGCAGGAGCAGTGAGTGGGGACAGGTCAGCAGCACAGTCACACAGAGGGGAAGCCGGCCACACAGAAGAGACCACTGAATGTACCCAGGGGTTGTTTTGGAAGTTGATGGGGATGAGTTTTTTCTTGCTGCTCACTGGGAAGGATGGAGTCATCTTCCATTGCCTGGGACTCATGGATTGTCTTACACCCTGTATACCTCACTGTTCCCACAGCCTCGCCTCACAGTTCATATAGGTGAAAACCCATGTTCAGTCATGCCAGCTTGCGCTTAAACAAAGTGTTTTTCATGTGGTTCAAAGATATACTGGCTTTTCCTGGAGTGTAGCAGCTTGGATGACAGCATCATCCACAGAATTCGGGCCACCAGTACAGTCCACCTTGTGGCTGCCCATCTCTCCCTAGGTGACTGTAGCATATGGACACCAAGATCTACTTCCGCAGCCTTTCTCTCTCCTTCCTCACAGTGATTACCTCCTAAGATGGTTAAATTTGATTGTCCACTGGAGTAGATCTGGGATCAACTAAGGCATGCATGGGGCAGGTCGGTGAGGGAATATCAAGGAACGGTTAGATGAGGTGAGGAAGCTCTTCCTCCTGCTCAGCACCCTCCCCGTGTCTCCCTCCACCTCAATCTCCACAGCATCTGCTGAGCACTGCTCTGTGGATTTCTGAAGGAAGAAATAGCCAGGTCACCAGTGCGGCTGGATTAGGAACTAGAGGACTAACCAGAGGAGGGCTAGAGATGACCATGGAGGTGGAGACAGATGCTGTGGGGTTTGTAGGCAACACAAGGACTCTGAAGTGGGCAGCTGTTGGAGAGACCTGAGCAGATGAATAAGAGGGCGGAACATGTTTTTAAAGGATGATTTTGGGTACTCTGTCAAGGATACATCATAGGGAACAAGTGGGGATAACACTAGGGATAGACTAACAACATCATTGCAGTAATTCAGGCTAGCTGCAGTACAATCTTGAATCAGAGTTGGTAGCACTGAAAATGAGGGATTACTGTCAAAAGTGTGCACTGCCCTTGCAGAGGATCTAAGTTTGGTTCCTGGTACCCACACCACCACCAAAATTGGCTTGCAATCAACTATAATTCAGCTCTGGGGACTCAGCTGCCTCTGTTGTCCACCAAAGATGACATATGTGTGTCCCCTGACACATAGCACTCATACATAATTTTTAAAAAATAAATATTGGTGCTCGAGAGATAGCGCAGCTGTTGAGAACACTTGCTGCTCTTCCAGAGGTTCGATTCCCAGAATGTGCACGGTGCTTCACCACCATCGATAAGTCTAGTTCCTGGGGATCTGATGCCTTCTTCTGGCCTCCAAGGGCCCCAAGTGTGCATATGGTGTACAGATACACATATAAGCAAAACACCTACATACACAAAAAAAAATCTTAAAAAATGATAGATTAGATGAGAAAAAGAACTCAAGAATTTATGAGCACACAAAAAAATTCAGGATGGAAGAAAAATGTAGACAAAGGATGTGAGGACTTTGGAGGAAAGAGATTTTGGGAATGGTCCCCAAATCTTGGACTTGTTATGAATATTGACATGTTTGAATAAATGGAGATAATGAAGCGTTTCTGGAGGAATCAAGAAATGCAGTGGCTTTGAGTTTCTGAGTGTAGGGAGTGAAGATATATATTTGGGTTCTGTAGATGGAAAGGAAGAATCAGGCTAAGAATCAAGTAGATTCTCAGCCCATATAATAATGTGAGCCTAGGGCAGGAATCTTCTGGAACTATGTTCACTCATGACCTCTGCAAGGAGTGAGGCAGACTTAATCAAATTACACCTTCCCTATTCCCTGTGCCTTCAACTTACTGTGTCACATAAAATCCCACCAAAGCCCCGATCTTTCTGATGGTCTTTCGGTGCAAAGGTTTTCAGGCCTGGAGAACGACACTACTGACATCTAGGGAATACAGGTGTGTACATGAGGAAACTAAGGTAAGACTCACAATTGAAAACTCTCTTTAGCTAAAAGGTGGTCATAGAGAATTCATTTGTCAACCTTCAGCATTATGATACAGACATTTTAAGGTGCCTGGGACAAACTAGGGATGTGATCTTCGGTTGTTAGCAACTTTATGTTTGTTGAAGTTTTATGAGCCAAGTCTGAGACCTT